GGGGGCGTCCGCGGCCGGGGATCCGCCTGCCCGCGCCCGCTGGCCTCTTACCACGAACACGGCCTCGGGGATCCCCAGGTGGAGCCTCCGCCCGCTGCCTGCGGCCGCCTCGCCCGAGCCGCAGCCGTCCTTCGCGGCCGCCATGTTAGGGAAGCCGGCGCGGTGCTCGGAGCCGCACCGCCCCCGCGCCGGGGCGCCAGGATTGGCTTGCCCACACCCGCAGGCCCGCCCCTCCCTGCAGTCTGCGTGTTCATTGGCCAGGCGCAGTCACCGCCCCTTCGCCCCAATCGCCGACCAAAGGTTCTGATTGGCGGCACGCAGCTGAGTGACAAGCGGGGAAGGGCGGTGCCGGAGAAGCGGACTGCGGGGAGGGCCGAGCGAGGCCGGGCGGAAACGGCGCTGCCGAACCCGGTGCAGGTGCGCGGGGCAGGGGACCCTGGCTGTGCAGGCCCAAGCCGAGCCCCGCCCCACGGCAGACCGTACCCTCCTGGCGGCCTTGGGAGCGATCTCACTTCCCCGTGCCATATGGGCAACTTGGGACACTGAGGTGGAAGCCAGCTGGAAGCCGCTGGCTGTGGCCGCTCCCGCACTGGGACCTCAAACCCTGTGGGCCCCGCAAACCTGCCATAGTAGCTCACCTGTCTTGAGGTCCAGGAAACAGCCCGCCCCCTTTCCCCAAACCCCTCCTCCCTCCCCCATCCCCACGCCAGATTCAGAAAGCTCCCAGTCTGCGAACAGCCCTCTTCCCAGCCTCTGCCCAAGCTCCGTGCACCTGGCACCACTACTGTGCTGGACAGCAAGTGCCTCCTCCAGACCCAAGGACATCCTCCCTCGTGTCCTTTCTGTCATCCACCCAGGTTTGCCCTGCAGGCCTCGGCCCCAGACGTCAGCGCTGAACCCGGCCCCTGGAATCCATGACGCGTAAACTCGCTCTGGAAGTTTGTCCCCAGCATGAGACAACAGTCCTCACACCCACCCCCCCCACACCTCCCAACACACGTTCACAGACAGACAAGGCCTTGCAAAATGTGCCATTAGTAAGATGAGCTAAATGTTGAAGTAGTCAGATGTGGCGTAAGAAGTGAGCTTAGATGAAGCTTCCACCCCAAGTCTCGTTTTTTTGTACTGTTTAAGATTTATTTATTTACAGAACTGGGGTACAGGCCAGAGGTGTGCGGGGTGAGAGGATTCCCCAGAGACAGAGTGAGGGGCAGAACAGGCAGATCTACTGAAATACACTGCTGAGGGGAGCAACGGGCAGGGCAGGAGAGGTCTGCCGCGCCATGTGGGTCACTGGTGCTGCAGTGGCTCCTGAGAGCTTCAGTATGCTGCGCTTTAACCCACTGCGCCACCAGGGAGAGCCCCAAGTCTCATTTCTTAATGAGAACATGTGCAGGCCAGACCTTCCTGAAGCTTCCGTGGGCTTAAGTGTGTCGAACAGACCAGCAAAGTGGTTTCACATTCATTATCTCCTTCCACCCAATGTGCTGACACCCATCCTGTGCAGCGCCGTATAGCGCAGTCCTTAGGAGTACAGATCACAAAGACGTCACAGGATAGCCCGAGAACCCGAAGAAATGAAGCTAAGTGCGGCATGACCCTGCCACAAGGAAGCAGGACCCCCCCCCCAAAGCCCTCTGAATCCGGAGGCAAAAAACCACTAGCCACAACTGTGAGACTGCCAAGGAAGGTGACACCCTGACTCCCCGCCATGCAAGGCAGCCCAGTTGGAGCCTCCAAAACACTGAATTGCAGACTCTTAAGGGTACTGATTTGCACACAAACTTTTATTCCACTTGGCCCACATGAATGGTTCGGTTGAAGAAAGGTCACTTCTGTCCACCTCTGGCTCTGAATGTTTTCCGTTGGTCTTCTACGGGGATTGGTTCTTGTGTAAAAGGAACACAGGTCAATAAATCTGTTCTCATCTACATATATTTTTCCTTGTGATTATAAATTACAAATACTTTTGCACAAAATTCTCATTAGTCTCATTATCTACTAATACCTGGAACTTTGTCAGGCCTGCTAACAAGCACTGGTTAAGGACTGAAGGAGAAATCGTGTAAAGACTTCTAGAAAACAACATTCCGAGGCAAGGAAGAGCTGGAAGGTGGCAGAAGCTTCTGCCACACCCATGTGTGGGCCCGTCCAGGCCCACCAGTCTCCTGTCCTGGGAAGCCACCCCGGACTCCGCTCTGGCCTTCCCACGAGCTCTGTGCTTCCCGCCGCTGGCCTGCCTTCAGTGGAGAGCGCTGCGCCCACTCCCACCCGCGCCTGCGGCCCAGTGCTCCACTGGAGACTCGCAACTCTGGATGGTGCCCGCCCACAGCCCTGGTCGCGGCTGGGTGTGTTGCCCAGAGAAGAAAGTGAAGCTGAAGCGACTGTGCCTAGGCAGCACCCCCGCAAATTCGGGTTCCTCTTTCTTCCTTCAGAGACCAAGAACAAGGCTTTCCGCACCGCTGCCGCCAGGCCCAAGCACTGCCGCTCCAACGTACCTGCTGTTGCTCACCACGCAGTAAGCCTGGGCGGGGAGGAAGCAGCGAATGCGCTGCAATCAAGGGAGGGAAGGACATTGTGGACGAAACCTGTGAATTGGAATAGCAAAAGAAATAGGACGAGAAAACTTACTTGGCGTCTCATCACCCTGCTGACCCAACAGGAGCTGCCCGGCCCTGCTTTTTCATAGCTGACAGGAAAAAGTTTCCGACCACAGTCTTACTACCTCCGATGAACAGAGCTTTTGCTGTGTTCGCTTCCAATCTTTCATCGCAACACTTACACATGTGTGTTAAGGCAAAGAGCCGGAGAAACTTCAGCCTCTTCAGCCCGGAAGAGCCAGCAGGTGCTGGACAGCGGAGCGCAGGCCCCGGCCACGCGTGCGGGAGCGCCAGGCTCACCCTACCACGCGGGTGGGCCTGAAGGCACCGAGTGGACCCGAGACTCCGCTGACGAGGCCGGCGGAGACGCCCAGGCCGGGCCCCAGGGTGCGCGGCCAGCGGCACGGGCAGGACCGGCCACGCGGCCAGGCCGGCAGAGCTCCCCCGCCCGGACCCACGGACAGCTGCCTGGGAGCCAGGCCACGGCGGCCGGGGGCGGTGCCGAGTGGGCGGCCGTGAGGACACACGGGTCTGTGCTTGCAGGCAAAGAGGCGCGCACTGCCCGCGGTCAGCCCCAGGGACGGTGGGCGGCCACGACAGGGCGCGAAGTCGCGCCCACAGCAAGTTTATGCTGCGACCTGTGGCCACCGAGCTGCACGTCCCAGGGCTCGCAGATTTTCTAGTGGGAAGTTAGTTCCTCTGGGCCTCGGTCTTGCTTTGCACCCCGCCCCCTTCCACCGCCCATCAGGAATCCTACGCCCAGCCATGCTCCAACGGAGGAAAAACAAGGGAGCCAGTCAGAGCGGCTCGTGCCGGGAGTGCCAGCTGGAAGGCGGGAAGGAAGCGGAAGCGAGGGCAGAGCAGCAGCCACGCCCACGCAGTGGAGGCCACGGCAGAGGCGGGCGGAGCCCTGAATTTCACTGAGACTTGCAGAGTAGCTAGCATGGTGCTCTTCGGCAACTGCTAGCTTGGTCCATTTCTATGTTATATGCATGTGCTGGAGAAGCAAACTAAAGCCACGTCACAGAAGTTACCGTGCTTGGAGAGGGAAGGACATGGATGGGCTCCCAGAGAGGTGATGTGCAGGTGCAGGTGTTCAGCTGCCAGTTCGTCCCGCCGCTGGCGTCCATCTCCATGTCATCCCTGCAATGGGGTTCACACGTCAGCCACTGTGGCCTTTGTGTGGGCTCCTTCCTATGAACTCTTGGCAACAAGCATAAACAGTGCCTCAGAGGCTGTAGCCTTCAAATGGCTATTTGTCTCTTGGGTGCTTGTCTGAATACTGATTTCTAGAGATAAACTTCACTGAGAACCTTCATCAGGCTGAAAGGTTGTCTTCTAGCCCTCAGTGTTGCTGTGTAAGGCCCAGTGCTCTACTTCCTGCTGGCCCGCTGTTAGTGCTTACTTCTCCTGACACTCAACCCGGAACCTCCTGGACTCAGAAGGTCGCCACGCCAGTAAACGCACTGCGGCGGGCATGCTCCCAGTGAGACGGCCGGGGCCGGCAAACGGGCTACTCATCACGAGCACGCCCCGGCTCTGCTTAGAGCCTGCAGCCTCACATGCCACGTCCTCTCTCGGGATGTCCATGTCTGCTTTCCACCTTCCTGTTTTATGCTTCTGGCTGAAAATGTAGGGGTTCGCTGTCTGAAGCTATGCTGGTGTCTTACGAGGCTCAGCAGCTCTCTCTGGTCGTTTTATCGCCTCTGTTTAATGAAATAGAAAGCAAGGGCCTCTCTGGTGGCTCAGCCGGCTAAAGCGCGGCACTACGAGGCTGAACCCCAGCCGCTAAAGGCCGGTCCGATCCGCCGCCAGGGGGTGACCCCCAGGGTGCAGCCCTCTCCTGACGCGCCCGCTGCGCCCTCAGCAGTGGGTTTCAGCCCATCCGCCTGTCCTGTCCCGCTCTGTCTCTGGGGAGTCCTCCCACCCTGCGCCTCTGGCCTGTCCCCCAGTTGTGTATGCATCAAGAAATACATGTTAAGAAAACACTCATGCTTTCTAGCTGTCACACTTGTCCTCTGCACACGCAGTGGCCACACTCCAGTGCCAAACGTACTTGTCGGGTGGCTTTTCTCCAATGCTGAGATCTGTGTCACAAAGCAAACACAAAGTTTACATCACTTTTATGCATTTTTCTTAGTTCATTCTTAGGAATTCGCTGAAAATCTATCCAAAGGTGCTCACCCCAGTTCTGCTGCTCCTCTCTGGTAGGCATGTGGGATTCGAAGAATGAAGAGTCCGTAGGGAAAATCATCTGGAAATGAGGAAATTATATGAAAACATAAACCCACTGTAGCAGCACCAGCACATCTACGTACCTCCCGATCACAAACTAGCGGACTCTCACGTCGGATCAATGAGTAGTCAGCTCAGTTATTCATAAATGAAGTTACTGTTACGCCAGATAAGTAGGAGGTGCTTAGAATACAGCAGTAAAAAATAATAAGTTAAAAAAAATCTCTGCCTGACATTTTACAGGGCGGAGTGGGGATGGGATCAAACATGGGGGGAGGAAGTGCACGGGGCTGTGGTGATGGCACACGGGGCACCTAGTGATGGGAAGCCCAGGGGGTG